GGTCTTTTGCCCCCAGTCGTTTTTCCTGCCATGGCAGGGGGTCGGACTTGATGATCTGCTCAGGTCCCTTCCGACCCTACCAACAATGAAACTATAAAAGAAAGAGACTTTGTTATATCGATCAGTCATAGGATGCCCATGAGTTATGATATAATTTTTGAAAACTAATACTATTCTAAGTTGTGTTCACTGAAATGCATTCAGTAGAGGCAAGGAAGCACTAGTACCATTATCCAAGTCATTGCTAAGACCTCACTTAGAATGCTATCTGTCGTCTGGGCACCAGTGCTCATAAAAGGCTTACAGAGGTGGTTAAGAAAATGGAGACCTTAACTTCTGAAAGAAGATTAAAGGAGGTTGGCTTGTCTATATTAGCAAGACTGAGATTGATAGGAGATGTTTTTGCTTTTACAAATACATTATTGGAGTGAATCTTTGCAAGGGAGAAGAGGATTTTAGGATACAAAAACATTCACAAGAACAAATGATTACAAACTGGTTATGTATAAATTTAGATAGAAATTGTCTGATTCTGTGATAAAAATTCCTGTCAGAGGTGTGAAGTTTTGGAATGCTCTTCTGAGCAAAGTAGTGGGGGCAAAGTACCACATATGTTTATGGAAGGGATGACATAGGGAGCTTTGGTATGTGTTCAATAAGTGAAGTAAAGTATTTGCTGTCCACTTGTTTGACTGTAGCGGTAATTCTTTTGTAGTGTAGTACATGCCTGATAATACCTTATTTTTATGGCTTTTGCTGATCACTTAACAGTGACCAGGAAGACAAATGGTTTCCCCCCTCCTTAATGCTTTTCTTGGTGTTATGGCAAGTGGATTCCTATAGTTAAGGCTGTATGCTCTGATTTCGGGTGTCCTGGTGTCCTTGCCAGTACATGAAAAACTCATAGGTTCCTTGATCTTCTAATTAGAAATCAAACTGATAACCAAATTTGGAGTCAGGAAGGTCTTTTGGGCAAGGAATGTGAGGGTTTTGCCTCCTTTGATGGCAATGCTCTTCCTAGGATCCTCTGAGCATCCATTAACCAATTATTTTTGTCGTTGCAATGGCAGGACATTAGCAGGGCCTTTCCCGCCTTTCTCTTACTTGTGTCATGGTATAGAATAATCCTGGTGTTTCTAGATTTGTACCTTGTAGTTGTCTGTTACTGGCTATTTTTAGGAATATTTGAGTAAACTGTTGCCTGCAAATACAAGGGACTTAATTTGATAGCCAAGGAGGCCCTTCCAGTCCTGTGTTCCTTAATTACATTTGTAGAGAAAACTGATCATTAAGTAGTATAATAATTATATCATGCTGTTTGTAGACTTCTAAAATAGAACTTTGATTTTGTTAAAAATAAGTTACAGTGCAAATATTCCTTTTTTTGTTGCTATGTGTACTAATAGTTCTAGGAAACAAAACAAGTACATCTTGGACTGTGAGTACTTACTCTTGATTAATCCAAGCCAAAGGTGCTATTCTGTCCTCTTCCAATTTGTTATGCTTTAGCACAATGAGGTTTATATTTCTGGTACGGTTAAAGCAAATTTCTGAAATCTCTTCAATTTGATTATTTTCCAGATGTAATTCCTACAAGTATGTTTGAAAAGAAAAGTTCATGAAAATATTAGGATTTTTTTCCTGTTGTGAAAAGGAAAGGCTACTTTTAATATAATTGATACCTCCTAATAAAATAACCAACTTCCACATAACAAAATAATTGTCTGAGTCTCTGTATAATGAGCTGCGCACTTCAGAGAGAGAGGACTCTTGGGAAGGGACGGCATCCAGCTCACGAGGAAAGGTAAATCCCTGTTTGCGGCTAGGGTGGCTGATCTTCTGGACAGGGCTGTAAACTAAGATTGCTGCAGGACGGGGATACACAAATTCAATCATCCAGGGAACAACATACAAGTAAGCCCTGTAGATAGGGACACTGGGATAGCCACCCTTGAGGGAGCAGAGGGAATAGTTCTCCTATATACTAACACCAGGAGCATGGGGAACAAGCAGGAGGATCCAGCCCTCCTACTCTCCAGTGTGCATTATGATCTGGTAGGGATTACAGAGACCTGGTGGGACTCCTCACACGACTGGAGTGTACCTATAGAGGGAAACACCCTGCATAGAAGGGACCGGGTGGGGAAGAAAGGTGGAGGTGTTGCTCTCTATGTGAAAGAGCAGTACACCTCCTTGGAGGCTGACATCAGCTCCAAAAATGGACAGCTTGAAACCCTCTGGGTCAAGCTTTGTTTGGGGGGAGGGGGGCCACGGCAAGAGAGACCTAAATGTAGGTGTATATTACAGACCACCAAACCAGGGGAAGGAACTCAATTTGGAGTTCACTCGAGAATTGACTGAGGCCGTACATGCACATGACATGGTCGTCGTGGGTGATTTTAATTATCCAGATATCTCCTGGGAGGAACACTCAGCCAAGTTGGATTGATTATGATCCTTCCTGACCTGTGTCAAGGAGCTCTTCCTGACTCAGGAGATGCATGGGACAACCAGAGGTGATGCTCTGCTAGACTTGGTCCTGGCCAAAGGAGATGACTTGGTGACCGACTTAAATGTAGAAGGAAGTCTGGGCGACAGTGACCATGAAACCATTATGTTCACTGTCTGACGTAAGGCAGACAAATTGGATAGCAGGACTGAAGTCTTGGACTTCAAAAATGCAAATTTCAACAAGCTTAGGTCACTAGTAGGGCAAGTGCCCTACTTGCCAGGGACTGGAGGCAAAAGGTGTGCACGAAGCGTGGTTGTTCCTTAAGGACATGATCCTTGAAGCACAAAGGAAGTCCATTCCCATGCGGAGAAAAGGTAACAGAAGGGCTAGGAAGCCCTCTTGGCTAAACAAGGGAATGACGGTCTTCTTGAGAAAGAAGAAAAAGGCTTATAAACAATGTAAACTAAAAAGTAGAATTTACAAAGCAGAGAAAAAGAGTTAGCAAGTTGCTAATCTGTAGTCAATAAGGCATTGGACATGCATTCATTTGTAGCTCTAAAAAGTGCTGGAGCATTTTTAGTGCTACAAAAAACAAACCACTGTGGGGGTGTGCACATATGCATAGCCCCCTGCCTAGAGCATCACAAGTTCATGTCAAAAGTATATTTACCAGCTATGGGGCAAAAGGGGGCAGCTCCTTTGCTCACTCCACACCCCAGGGAGATCACTGAAAGTCTGGCCTCTCCTTCCCTAGGGAAGGAGGCGAGGGGAGGGCAGCCTATTATAGTGATCAGCTTGTAGCTTCCATCAGAATAATGGGGGTGCAGAGAACAGCTCTTAGCAGGAGGCTGTTTGAAAGCTAATGCTGCTCTTGGCTCTAGCACCTGTCATCTCTGCCACTGTAACTGCTAAAGGGCAGCAGCTGTACCAGCTCCTCCATGCTGTGTTGGGTCAGTTGCTCCAGATTGCTGAAGCAACTGTTTCAGCTGCAGGCAGTGCCACAGGAAGACCGCTGTTGCTGCTACTACTGTGGCCACCATCACAAGAGCACCAGTTGTTGTCAATGCTCTTGTAGTGGTGGTGAACGTATCAGGTGCTCCTGCAACAGTGTCCCAGTAGGGCTCTGTGACAGCTCACTGCAGTTAGGTAGGCTTGCAGAAAGCCATCTGTTCTCCTTCCCTCCCTCTTAGAAGGGGAAGGGAGAGTAGAGGACTGTGGGACTGGCACCAGGGGCTGACAGCCAATGCGCCACAGGTCAGAAGCCATGAGCTTCAGCAGCGGGGATCTTTGCCTGCACTGAACTGCAGTTGGGCAGCAGGGAGTTTCACCCATGCCATACTGCAACTGGGTGGTGGGGAGAAATGGCAACAGTCAGGTCCTAACACATGCCTACCTCAGACCTGAGCTGAGTCAGGGTGGCCCACTACCAGAAAAACATTGCTGACCACTGATCTATATGCTACATGACACTACAAAACATAGGGCTACAAAGAAGGTCCTGTTTGGAAGAGCCAAAGATTTTTGTAGGCAATATCTATTATTGGACCAGCTGCATAGTTAAGATAGACTTAGATGAGCTTTTGGGTACAAAATACGCTTCCTCTGGTATCTGAGAAAAAAGCAGATGCAGCCTAGGATATCTAATACACTTTGAAAGAGTGACTTTTTCTGGTGGATCTGCCATTTTTTGTATCACTAGAGATGGCCGGACTGTGTGAACATTCTTTTTCTGTAGCATGACAAATATAACATGTCCAAAGCCTAAATTGGAGGATATAATTGTTGGTGGCTGTTTCATTGTTAAATGTTGACAGTCTGTTTATAACTGTACAAAGACAAAGTAGTCCTGTCTTTGTGAAAAACAGATGAAGTCAAAACCACTGAAGAAGAAGAAGAAATAGCAGAATGAAGGAGGGAAAAGGGTAGCATAGGGAGAATGGGAAGAAAGTAAAACAATGGTGCACAGTAGCTAAAACAAAAATTCATGCAGTAGTTGGGGAGGCAGGTAATGTCAGATTTTTTTTTCTCCAGAGCTTATGGGAAATTCCACTGTAAGGAAAAGAGAAGGAATAAAAGCAAGGAGATGACAGGAAATATAGAAAGAAGAAACGGTTTGTGGAAAGCTATCAAGTTGATAACAGATAACAAAAAAGAGACTTTGAAAGAGAAGACAGTAGAACTTGATACAGGATTAAATGAGGAGGAAAATTATACTTGGATAATGTCAACTTTAAAAACTATGGTAAGTAGAGGATGTACTAGGAAGGATAAATAAAAGGTGTTTTTGCAGAGAAGAAATGTTTGAGAAAAGGGAAAATTAAGTTGAGGTTTGACAAATCAGTATAATTGAGAGACTTTATCCAATGCAACTGAGAAGAATGGGAACGGACAAAAATAGGAAATGAAAGAAGAATCCCTGGTATTTGCAGAAAGGAAAAAATTGAGGAGAGAGAAAATGTGTGAGGGCAGAAACTGGAAAGTTTATTAGCCAAGAAGCAGTTAAAAAGCAGAATAATAGTTTTGTAAATTCAATGATGGGCGGTAAAATGGATGGGTGGTAGAATGGGCATAAGTGATGCTAATCAAGTCAACTTTTACTTTGTCTCTTATGTTGTGTTCATAAAGGTATTTCAAAGTTGTCTTGAGTTTTTGATGGTCATACTTTTTGCTGGAGTTTTCTTAAAAGAGAAGTAATTTTTTGTCTGTAATGACTTGCAGTTGGTACAATGATTTTCTTGAAGCCTACCAGTTGTAGTTCAGTGAATGTGTTTAAGAAGTTACCTCAATAGAAGGTGGAAGACCTTGTGGGATAATTCGAAACTTATTTCTTCCCAGGCGCAAGTAAGACAGGCTTTTCAAAGGATTAAATGCCAAAGGACTGGTATTTGCTTCACTAAGTTTATTGCCTTCTAATTCCAGCGTCACCAAATTTTTTAATTCTGTTGGAAATAAAATAATTGGAGATAAATTTCAGTAACTTAATACCTTATTAAAATATAATATCTCTTATACCTTATTAAAACATGAGACATATTATTAATAATTTTTATCTTTATCAGACTCCAATCAAAGCACTGAAAAAGCCACATTTGCTTGAATAGATATTTGTATAATAAAGTATTTTATTCTCCAATTCATAATTTGTAAAAATTAATTTTATTCTTATTCAGTGAGAAAAGAAATCAACTGGGTATCTCATCCTGTTTGAAGACTGATGTCATGATACCCTAGATACAGTTACATTACAAAGAAATACAACTTAAGTATTGGTGATTACAATTTGTTTTTGCCTTACATAGCTTTCAATTGTTTTATTCTTGCTAAAATTTCCAGGAAGAACCCACGTGGGATTATTGTTGTAGTCTATCACCTCTTAGAATGGGAAAGTAAGACAGATTCAAAAGCAGAGCTCCTTAAGAGGCCATTTTACCTCATGTTTGTTGGTAGAGTACATACAGAATAATATATCAGTGATGAAATTCTACACAGATGTCCAAAAAACTTGTAGAATTCTTCCACAGATCAATAGTCATTCATGTTTTTATTTGTCATGTTGCTTGCTTTCTCAATGGACTCAACAGTTCCGTCCCACTTCCTTGCACCAAGTACTGACAATGCCTCCTGCGCTGGCAGCAGGGAGCTCCCAGCCCGGGCTGCATAATTGTGGAGTGGGGCCTGGGGACATTCTTATCTCCTACCCCAGCTCTGCAATCAGGGAGTGGGGGCCAGGAGCTTCCTGCTGCTGGGTTCCTGCGCTGGAGCCCACTCCAGCAGCAGGCAGCTCCCGCGGGCAGGGAACAGTCTCCCACCCCCTGCTGACCGGGCGCACATTTGCTCCATGTCAGCTGTCTACATGTGCTGTACTGTGCAGTAATTACTCCTGAGTAAATTTGGTTTACTCAGTAAGCATCTGCACATGTAGGCAGTGACACTTACTGTGCAGTAATTTGTTCTAAACTTGAGTAAAGCATCTCATGTAGACATGACCAAAGATAGGGAAATCTTTTCCAACCTAAAAGGCAAATGAAATTGTTCTCAAACTCCTACATACTATTGCTGTCTTCAGATCTTATGTAATGCCCAGAATCTCAAAATATTTATGCTTTCCTTTTCAACATCTTCAGTATTAAATTTCACATTGTTTTCATTTTATCTGTTCAGTATGCATTTCTTAAATACCTTCTAGACTGTCTTCATCAATTGCGTGGAGATGGTTTTCATTTATTTTAAGTTCTTCTAAAGTTGATGGTAATTCAGGGGGGATATGCACTAGTAAATTTCCATCCAAATACAAACGTTTTAACTTTTTCAGGATCTTAATTGGGGGTGGAAAATAATTCCATTATCAATACATCAAATCGCATAGTTAGGTAACCAGTAAGCATAATATTTTATCAAAAACATTAATTTGTTTCTGATGCTATTTGTTGGGTTAAGTAAATTTAACCCTTAACATGTGACTGCTTACAGCATGCACTAACTTTAATATTCCCTAACAATCCTTAGAGTTAGCACATGCAAATAGTAACATGCAACAACACCCTTGTTGTGAGCAACCACTCCTACTATGTTGTTATATTTCTGTTATAAAGCTACATTTCTGTTAAAGAGCATTGAGCCATGCAGCCTTTAATTTGTTCATTTGCTGTTTTTTATAAGTATTTAGGAATTCTCAGACACACACAAACTTTATTACCATATTTTTTTATGTCCCCCTACCTCACTTCCTATACTCTTTTGTATTCAGATCACTCTCTTTATATGATAGCCTACTCTTTGCATTTCCTTTTGTAGCATCTGATGAAGCGAGCTGTTGCTCATGAAAGCTTACGCATCTCTGATTCAGTTAATCTACCTGCCTTCCGCCTGACTTCAGACTAACACAGTTAACTACTTCTCTTTAATCTACAGTAAACATTGTTGTTCAGTAAATTGCCTCTGTGGGCTACTAGTCTATTTTAGGTCTCTTTTTTGGCTTCAGTATAGAGATTGCACTCTTTTCCTTGTCACACTGTCATAGAATTATCTGGAGTATTGTGTCCAGTTTTGCACACCCCCCTCCTCCCCCCACCACTACAGAAAGGATGTGGACAAATTGGAGCGAGTCCAGCAGAGGGCAGCAAAAATGGTTAGAGGGCTGGGGCACATGACTTATGAGAAGAGGCTGAGGGAACTGGACTTATTTAGTCTGGAGAAGAGTAGGCTGAGTGGGGATTCAGTAGCAGCCTTCAATTACCTGAAGGGTGGTTCCAAAAAGGATGAAACTAGACTGTTCTCAGCGGTGGTAGATAACAGAAAAATGACTAATGGTCTCAAGTTGCAACAAGGGAAGTTTAGGTTCAGTGCCAGGAAAAACTTTCTTAGTAGGAGGGCAGTAAAGCACTGGAACAGGCTACCCATGTAGAATCTTCATCTTTGGAGTTTTTTAAGACCTGAGAAGACAAAGCCGTGGCTGGTATGATATAGTTGGGGCTGGTACTGCTTTGAGCAGGGGTTTGAATTAGGTGACCTTCTGAGGTCCCTTCCAACACTTATTTTCAACAATTCTATGAATTATCATAGAACAGTAAAACCCCTCCCTCTGCTTTGGCATGCAAGCCCCAAGCCGGGGCATGGCCACACTCCCCACTTGAGTGAGGAGGGAGAAGACCCTGGCAGGGGCTGCCCTCTTCCCCCTGTCCTCAAGCAGGGAGCTGGGGGGGTAGAAGTATGGCAGTCCCACCAGGCAGCCCCTAGGCAAAGGAGGGGGTTTAAACCCTCCTGCCCCCCACCTCAGCCTGCTAGCCCCATGCCATGCCCCTGCTCTCTGCTAGGGATTTGAAAAAGCCTGGCAGGGGCTGCCTCCCACCCCCATGCAAACCCTTTTTGGGATCTGGAGCATGCAAGTCCCTAGCCAGAATGTGGCCATGCCCCCCATTTTCCACTCAAGCAGGTGGGTGGGCTGGCAGGGGTTTCTCCCCCCTCCTCCAGGCAGACCTGGGGTCCTGTGCAGTTAGGGAGATGGTTTAAACCCCTGTCCTGCCCCCGCCCCCCGACCTTAGGGTGCCATCCCTAGATTGGGGCGTGCCCATACTGTTTGGTCCAGCTGGGAGTGGGGTGGGCAAAACCTTGATAGTTTCGTAGTAGCTAGGGTCAGGAGGGACCTGAATAGATCATCAGTGTCAAAGGCCTTAAAGTCTAGAAAGACTATGTCTACGGCGACACCATCATCCAAAGATTTAGTTACTTGGTCATAAAAGGCAATCAGGTTGGTCTGGCAGGACCTGCCTTTGATGAACCCATGCTGATTGCCCCTGAGCATGATCTCCCCTGCTGGCCCCCCACAGATGTGCTCCTTGATGATTCTCTCCAAGATCTTCCCGAGCACCGAGGTGAGGCTTACAGGCCTATAGTTACTTGGGTCTTCCTTCCTCCCTTTCTTGAAAATTGGGACCACATTAGCCAGTTTCCAGTCCCCCAGCACCTGGCCAGATGACCATGAATGCTCATACCGCCAGGCCAACGGCTCCGTGATGACCCCTGCCAGCTCCCTTAACCCCCATGGGTGGAGGGCATCTGGACCTGCAGATTTAAAAATGTCTAGCCCTTCCAGAAGATCCCTAACTACATCTGCACTGACTGAAGGCCTGACAGAGCTATCCCCAAGATTGTCCCTACCTCTGGTAGGTGGGATATCCTGGTCTCTGTTCAAGAAAACAGAGGCAAAGAAACTGTTAAAAATATCAGCTTTCTTGTCAGGCGTAGCCACAAGATTACCGTTTGCATCTTGCAGGTGCCCTACATTGCCTGGTGCCCTCTTCTTGCTCCCTATGTACTTGAAAAAGGACTTTTTGTTGTCCTTAATCCTGGACGCTAGCCTGAGTTCCAGCTCTACCTTGGCCTTCCTAATAGCCCTCCTACACTCCTGGGCCGAGGAGGAGTACTCCTCCTTGGTGATAGTTCCTCCCTTCCACTGGTTGTATGCCCCCCTTTCAGCTGTCAGGCATTCCTAAATGCCCTTGCTGAGCTTGATGGGGCTGCCCTCCCCCCCCAACTTGAGCAGGGGGGCAGAAAAATCAGTACTGAAAAATCAGTATCAATTCTGATAAATCTATTTCTCTAATTAATATATAAACATAAATATTAATTTTTTGTAGAGTTAATCTTCATAGACATCATAGACTATGAAAATTTAAAAATTGGCAGTCACAGTCAGGGTTCTCATTGTACGATATTCTTATAGGGCATTTTTACTTGTCTCCAGCAGTGGAGGGGGTGGCTCTGAGAGCTGGTCTAATTAAAGCGCCTGCAGCATCTTGTGTATCTGCATTGCCATGCTTCAAAATGGTGGTGGGAGCACTTTAACTGAAGCTCATTCAATGATTTTTAGTTAAAGCAACCGTGCTGCTTTAAATGCAGAGGCTGGCTGGAACGTGCTAGTTAGCATGCTCCAGCAGACTCAAGAGTCTGCTCCAATGCGCTGTAATTACAGTGCATTGGAACATCCTCCTGGCATGTCTGCAAGCACCCATAGTGCTTCATGCTGGCAGGTTCTAAATATTTGGGCTCTGATACAAAGGAGTATCATTCATAGCAATGGCACTGCTCATGTTTTTTAAATTAAATGCAAGCTTTTTAATTAAATTAAATACAAGCTTTCACCAATTAAATACAAGTCCTTGACGCTTTACAGGATTGAATTAAAAAGCAAAGACCACCATCCAGCCTAATGCTAATTAAGATGTTTTTGGTTACAGCTAATATTTGATCAAGCATGAAAGAGAAAATATTATAGAATATAGCTAGGGCCTGGTTTAAATCACAGATCCAGCTCGCAAACATTGTGGCCCGATTGTGGCAGGGGCTGCCATTTTCGCACCCAGATCATAGCATCCCCTCTGTACCCACTGATTGGCTAAGGAGGCAGGTTTAGGGCCATCTGGCTGGCAGAGCCCAGCCCACAGTGCCAAGCTGAGGGCAGGGATCAGGGGTATCCAGCAGGACAGGGGTAGGGAATAAGCCGCCGACCCACCTGGGGACTCACCATGCTTGTGAGGGTTGTGGGGTGGGACTCACCTGGCAGCGTGCCTGGCACCAGGCAGCAAGTGGCCTAGAGGTTGGAGAGGGGGGTTGGAGGTAGCTCTAGTGCTGAGTTTCTCTGTCCACCTCCTCCCTTTAGCAATGGCAGCAGTGATAATGGTGGCAGCGGAGAAGGACTCCTCAAAAGGCAGCGGTGGGTGGAACTGTAGCAGCATGCAGTGGGTGGAGGGCAAGCCGCACATTAGTGTGGTTAATGGATAGGGACTGGGCACTGCACAACAGTACAGGCACCCCCACAGCTCCCAAGGAACAGGCTGCAAGGTGGGGGGACCTGCCCATATTGGGTGCCCCCACTTGAGCATCCAGCAGCATGCACGTGCCTGAGCCTCCAGGGGCTGAGCCCCTGAGCTTCTCCTCAAATAGCCCCTACCCTACCCAGTTTCCTTCAAGGCTCAGGCAGTTGCACATAAAAATTGCATTTTTCATGAAAATCACTTAATTTAATAATCTTTGTTAAAAGATTCACTTAATTTCATAATCTTCATGAAAAATGTGAAATCATGATTTAAACCAGGCCCTAGTTATTGCTCCATATCTGAGCTGAGGTACTTTGGTGGGACAGCATGAAGACTGCTGACATATTCAAGCCAGAGCTCTTCAAAGCACTAACTTATTTATCTATAGATTTTTTAAATGGAGCCTAAATAGCACATGAATTTTGAAAAAAGAACTTTCATCACAGGAAATTATATTTAAACATCTCAAAATTGGAACTGGTAAATACCAGCAAAACATTAATTGAGGAGCAGTAGTAGTATTATGCATTGAATAACTTGTTCAGTTAATAATATTCAACCAGATACAGAACTGGTTTATTGCTGGCAACATACGATTTTTTTGAAAATGTCAAATTTTGCCTAGCCATATGTTCCTCACATAGAAGGAGATCATTACCTAATGTAAATTTTCATGGTCATTGAAGAAAAGGGAGCTATGACAATTTGTGCCAGTGGAAGATCAACCCCTCAGGATTCAGTAAATCTACTTGAAGCAAAATCAGTAAAAAAAACAAACTAGAACAGTTGTTTCCTTACTTTGAATGCACGTGGACCTATGTCTGAAGAGGTAATGTTATTTTTACTAAGGTCAATCCTTTCCAAATTAGTGATTCCATTGAATGCTTCATCTGGAATGGCAGTGATGACATTTCCTAAGACAGTTTAAAAAAAAAAGTCTGAGTCATTTTGTCATGATCAAAGTCAGGTAGCTTTGTACTATACAAGTGAAGAAGGTATTGCTGGAAATAAAGTCAACTACATGTATTTGTGTTTTAATGCTAGTAGCTTATACATTTTTAAAAGGAAATTAGATAATTAGATGTGATAGGAAGTTTAGTTACTACTTTAATATGTTGTCTAATCGTCAGGTTTAATCATAAAATGCCTTGCAACTTGTGGTGATAAGAAAAGTGTAGTACAATATTTTATATACAATATGCTAACAAAGTTGTTTGTGTTTTAGGGAGGGCTAATTTTAATTTATGAAGAAAATTATTAAAGCAAAATTATTGCTTACCTGCAAGCTCTAAGCTTGTTAGTTCTGGATCTGTAATTGGTGGTATTTGTGTGAGTTTGGCATTAATGCAGCTTACTGTTGTGTCAGAGATTGAACATCCCTTTGGCAAAGGAGGAACTTCTGCTGAAGGAACAGGAATTGGGAAGTGAAGTGGCATTCTGAAAACATCACCTCTTAAAATATGTCCGTGCTCATCCTCTTCCTCTTCACTATTACGTTGTATTACTTCTTGCTCTACATATTTTTCTTCCTTTTTTTCTTCCTCCCTTTCAAATTGCAGTTCTTTGTCTTCAAATATTCTTTTTGCTGCTTCTTCTCTTCTGCTTATTTCCTCTGATTTTTGATGGGCTTCATATTGTTGTCTTCTTTTAACTTTCTGAGGTGTTTTTCCTTTACTTTTTTTGTTCTCAACCTTTTTATGGATTTCTTTCTCCTTAAGTTCATCCTCTTCTCTTCTAAGTAACTCATCACTTTCAGCTTGGGTCAGTTGTGTTTGCAGTAGGAGTGGGTTACTAGGGTCATTGGGTTCTGGAGAATCACCAGAAAATGCAGATGTGTCATCCAGTGAAATACTGTTTGGCACTGAAAATAAGGATGAACATGGTAATGGAAGTGAAAGGAAAAAATGGCATTATAAGAGGAAAGTACAGTGAAGTTAGTTTTAGTATACATAAATCTCTGCAAGCATAGAAATTATTTATATGATAAATATATTTACACTGAGAATGTGATTTAAAAAATAAAAATATGATATTGTGAAATGGTTAATTAATTTTAAATCAACATAAAGTGTAGTATTCTCATAAGGTACTGTTAAGTATTTATTTGTATATTTAGTTGTAAAAGTGTAATTAAGATGGTAAAAGAAAGTTAATCAAAGTAATCTTTAAAAAACTGAATATAGGGTTGATTTGATGGTATATTTTTTGCAGTCTTGTGTTTGTTAAAAACTATGTGCCCAGAAATTGTGTGCAAGCAAAAAGAAGTAGGAGGAGGGGTGATAGTGGGATAACGTTCCTACAACTCAGCTCTAACTCCTATCAGAGTAACACGTCCACCTCCTCATTAAACCTCATTAATGTTGTCAGGCTGGCCAGGAAGACATGTTTGGCTATTCTTCAGAAGCAGTGTTCAGACATGCATATGTAGCACTACAAGTACAACAGCATCTTGAAATGCAACAAAAGCAGTGTTTTGAGAGGTATACAAACATTCAGAGCTCCCCAAATAGAGCACTACAAGTTCCCTACAAAGGCATGCTCTCTAGCTAGGCAGTGATTGGGGTTTGCTCCTCTTTCTTCCCAACCATTGACAGCCTGCTCTTCTCCTCACTAGCAGTGTTAGCACCACTGCAGCAACAGCACCATCACTGCACCGGTCCCTATTTTGCAGTGCTTGCACCATTTTTTAGTGCTATGGGCAGGATTCACATCTGACCACCTTCTTTTTGTAGCGCTGCAGGGGTACGTATAGCACTAGCAATATACATCTGAATGCTGCCAGAGATTCCCAGGAAGCCTCCAAATCATAGGACTTGGTGCTTGTTTCCTGTACTTAGTAACCATAATTAAGCCCTCTTCTAGCAAATATCATATTTAAAAAAAAAAAGTCTTGGGGTCCAGTCATTGTGATCATACTCAATTGCCAATGGCTTCAGTGAAAACTAAGTAGCAATTTCTCAGTATAAATATGAACTTTCATTTCTACCCAGGAGAACTTTTACAGTCTTTTCTCTAATGCCTGATGAAGGGTGTTTGTGCCTGAAAGCTTGCAATTAAAGACATTCTTTTGCAAAAATCTTGTTGGTCTAATAAAAGTTATCAACTTTGTCCACGAGCCCTGATTGCTTTTCAGTATAAATAAGGTTTTCTACACTGAAATCTCATTTTATGCAGTAGGGGATGACAATGCTGAGTTTTTACCCGCACTTTTTTGTAAGATGAATTTTAGAAATAGTTAATAAAACGGTACGTAACCCTGGACACTACCTGCTCCCTCACCCGAATAGTGGGATCCTGGGATACCCGATAGCCAATGGCCCCGCCCAGCTCTCTGGGTAGCTGCTGCAGGGTCCCCAAATGAAGAGCCTCCCCTTACAATCAAACAACCTTGCAGACCGTTATAAAACTATGTACAGGATTTAATTATTTACAAGGTAACATATAACCAATGCAATAGAGCAAAGGTAACACTGCATGACCTGGTGATGGTGGCTTAAGGGTTAATGTTTCTTGGCTACACATTACACTAGGGCAAGGTATACAAATTACCCACAATAAATAAGGAACCAATACATAAATACATTGATACTCCAACTAATAAACCATCAAGAAGTTATTTACACTGTGTACTGAGGACCCTGGGGTTTCAATGTAGCAGGCAGTGGCTCCTCCCCTGCAGTCCCTGCAAGAGAGCTGATTCCTGCCCAGACCCCTTTCCTGGCTCAGCAGGGAGCAGTGCCTGGGCTGTAGGTTGCAACAGTTCTCCTGCCCAGCACAGCCTCACAGCACCCAACAAATGCAGCTCGTCCCTGTGGCTGGAGCAGTCCCTGCCCCTCTAGCCCGGGGCTCCCTCCAGCATCCTGAGCCTGTCCCTACCCAGTGCCTTCTCACTTGCAGGGGAAAAACCAAGGCAGTCTCAAGCAGTGCCCCCTGGTCCTGCGTCCCCTTCTCCTCCTGCGCTCACCCAGCCACACAGGGTCTTGCAGGAGGGTCTTCCCAGACTCGAAGTCTCCTCACAGGCAGCTCCTCTCTTGTGCCTGCCCTGGCAGGGCTGAGGGGGAGAATGGACAGGTGTAGCACTCTTGCTGAAGCAGCCTCTCACTGCTACTTCTGCAGGGGTCTAACAGGGGCTCTCTGAGGGACAGCTGTAGGGAGATCCTTTCCTTGATCTCCAGCCTGTCTCTCACTCCCTTTCTCTCCTTTGTTCTCCTCTCTACCCCCCCCCCCCCCCCAGAAAACTGTTCCCCTCTTTTAACCAAGCCTCTCAGCCAGTCCAAAGCCAGGACTCTTGCTGGGATTACATCACCCCTCCCACTTCCAACAGGGCTACCTCCAAAAAAGCTTCACTCGCCCTCAGGGCAAACAGTATCCCTACTGGGATAAACTGTCTCTTCGCACTCTGTCCTTCTGCAGGGCAGCCCTTCCTATTCCTTCAGGTGGGCCCATTTTAGTGTTGCTGTGTGTGTGTGTGTGTGTGTATACACATACACACACATGATTAAATAAATGGTTGGTTATCATGATTAAATAAATGGTTGGTAATCTTCAAGACTGAGTCTTGAAGATTAATAGGTTGCTTTATAAGCACTGCTTTTAAACTACTTTGTTAATATAGAGCTGTACAAGAAACATTGTGTATTTTATGTTCTGATAGTCATCATAAATGGAATCTTATATAAAATATAGTCAGACATTCTTTTTTTCTATGTATTATAAAGCTGACATAATATGAGTAGAGGGGAAATAAGTAAAAATATGGGACCCTGATCCATCACCTGTTGCAGATATTTGCTTTAAAGACAATAAACTAGAATATAGCTAATAGATCACGTAGGGTTTTACATAAAACAAAATTAATGTAGAACATTTGCTTGTTCAGTAAAGAAAAATACATATATAAAATTACTCTTGTTATGTAATTTGGGACTTTTCTACTTTCTGCATAAAACAAATATGTACAAAAATTAATGAACAGCTTTGTATTTATAGGTGATGTCTCTTGCACTTATTATTGTAATAATCTTAAAATAGTAAAATAAGTATTAAATAATATGATGATAAGAAGACAATATGGGGTACTGTACCAATCTCAGAGCAAGCTGGGCAGCACTCTCCTTCAAGTATCACAGTTTTTTGACATGTTAGAGGGTGGCATACGGTTTCATCACAAATCACTTTTCCTTTTGAACACAGACAAGTAATGCAGGGCGTGGGGGACCACATGGCCTTATCATACATAATCATTCCATTGGCTATACAGCGACCATTCTTTCCTGACAAAAAGAGAACAATTAAAAACAAATGTTATGTAATTATTTAATAACTTTAATTGAAAAAGCCCACAAGTACAGTTTGTATGTTTAGATCTTTGATTTAATTAGTTTTGAAATGCAGAAAAATTATTAATATTAAAAGTACTTTATTGGATCTTCACTATATTCTGTTAGGTCACTAATCTTTCTGATATTAAATGCTTTTATTGCTCTTAATATGAAGGGAGCACGATCTTGTTCTTATTTATAAATATTACAATATATTGCGAATATGTCTGTCATATATCACTTGCAGTTTTCCTCTTGAAAGTGCTGGGTGTGTCAGACTCTTCAACAGCTTTTGTTGAAAACACTAAACTTTTTTTTAGTCTGTAGTTATATTTCTAAAGTATTTATCACCATGTACTCTAGGCACCAAAGGCCAAACTTTATCTACTGAAGTGCGTAACAAAACTATTAACCGTCGGAGTCATGGCTAGCCACAAGTGAGCATAGTCCTTTTAAAAACATGCCAAATTGTCACACGTAAAATAAAATGCCCTATTTTTCTAAAGAATTGGTTAAACATGGAGGCAGCAGCTACATAAACTTCTGTAACATTTTCCTGGCGCTGTGTAACCTGTTTACAATAGTGCACCTTTGCACCAGAAGCTAGTTATTAGTTTTGCTTCTCAGGTTATGATTACATGGTAAAACTAACATGCCGGGCAGTGGTACCTTTAGGTAACTTGCTGCAATACAGTGTTTTTGATAGTGACACTGTCAGGCCTGGTATAAGTTTACTGTGTAGACATGGCTTTAGTCCCTCCTTGTCAGTCTTCCAAGTAAGGTATTCTCCATCTCCCCAGCAACTGGAAAGAGATCACTTCTTTGCTCTGAGCCAGGACTTAATATGTATTTCAGGAAGAACTCTCCAAAATTCTTGGTCTCCAAGGAGCCCAACAGGAAACTTCAGGTCTCCTTTTAGAGCTGAACTGTCAGAGGATTTTAAATAAATGTCTGTATCTTAACTGACTTTGAGGTTTTTCTCCTCAAAACTGCTACACTTAAAAATATCTGAGGAAGGTTTGGAGGACAGTACATCTCTTCTCCAGCCTCAGGAATGACAGTAGACAGTGATAGCCATCTCCCAACAAATGTGTAGATTAGGCCTATGCCAAGTTAGTTACGTGTGCCATGTGAAAAGACCTTCATTTAAAGCAGGCCAGAATTATCATTACATATCTGCGGGTAAGTTTGCAAAGTGCACATGCAGCTCCATGAGTTACAGGACGCTTTTTCTAATAGCTTGCAAAGTAGCAATCTTTCATCAAAGCCTTGTGAACCTCAGAGAAGGGCAAAGGAATAAATGCCAGTTCACAGCATATAGGCAAAGCCAGTCATGAAGACTAAGTACAGGCATTTGGGTGCATTAGGTTGGGGGAGTTAGGGGGAGATTAAATCAATTCAAACTGGCTGCCTGATATCAGGTAAGTCAGAATGGGGTGGGCTATCTGGGTGGGTTGGGGGTCCAGCAGGCTGGAGAGTATCGGGGGTCCCCTGGGGATGGGGCAGCAGGTGCAACCTGTGGGTGACGGTGTGGGTTGGAGGGCTAGTGCATCCCATGAGGGGTTGGGGGAGCAGGCACAACCTGCAGCTGGGATGGGAGGGCAGGCATTACCCGTGGGTGCGGTGGGGTGGGGTGGGGGGCAGTTGCAAACCTACATCCCCATCCCTCCCCTCCCCCGACTGGGACTTACTTGCTTGGCTCTAGCAGCAGTGAACACATAAATGTGGCTGCACTCAGAGCGCCTTGTGGAATGGGGGTTGAGAGGGCTGGTTGTGGGGGAGCAAGGGGCTGGAGGTGCAAAAAATAGACCAGTGCAGGAGAAGTGAGGAATTAAAAAAATAGCTAAGGAGTAGAAAAGAATGGGGCCAGTACTGAGTTTTCCCAGCCCTGGGATTGCGCAGAGAAAGTGGACAGAAGTTCCACATGCCAGTTTGACCTAAATCAAACAGGGTTCTTCGATTTTTAGACTGGTTTGTGTGCATGGACCTTCAGTTCAGTTACACGTTTAGACTGATTGCTGGTCACTGAGACCCGGTCTGTAAATGTAAGGTTGACACTGGGATGAGCTAAGTTTTAAATCAAGTGGCCATTTTGAACCCAATTTAACATGCTGAATGTCTATACATAGCTAAAATGGTTGGGAGGGCCATAAAACATCCCCCTTTCCCACAAGCTGTTTACCTGCAGAGCTTTATTTGCTGTGAAAGGTGCTAACTTGTCTAATATTTCAGATCCCAATGAGTCATTTGTCTCCACTAGCATTGGCTGTGCATTCAAAACTTCCAAAGATATGTCCTTGGGGCAGTGTGATTCCACTTGAAGAAATTGGAATTGCAAGTTAAATTCTGATGTCCTTCTAAGTATTTTGTTGGTAAATTATTTTGAGTAAAAGTGCTTGGAGGCCTTTGAGAGGTCTTCATTAAAAGTATCTTGTCTGTTTGCCACCACCTTGTCTAATATAGTTTTGGAGCTTGGTATGCTTTCTTGAAACTTCACTTTCATATGCTGTCAAACATAGTAATTCTCATATAATAGGGACTATTATTTGGTTTCTTTGGGTTGAACTGAAACATCCTTAGGAAGTACTTACGTATATGTTAGATATGAACAGAGCAACCAAAATTAAAATCTTTTTTTTTTTTAATTCAGAAGCATGATTAATGATTTCAGGTCTGTTACTTACTAGACTGTTTTCCAGATCTGATCTTTAACTTGCAAAAATGTTGAATTTTAGGAATTAGAAAATACTTTGTGGTTGAAGTCTTTGGCAGATGAGCACAGGACTTTTAACCTTTGGAAATATAGTGTAAATCTAGTGTTGGATGCCAGTTAAAATGAGTTCAATTATTAGTTCAACTTTGGATAAAAAAGCAAGATAAAGGTAAGTGGAAGGTGGAGAGGGGAAGGAAACCACATATTATTTTAGTATGTTTGTGATGGTCTCTGAAACATATTAGAATAGCTTACATGGAATACATTCTATGTACATGATATCTTCCTCTACTTAATATAAATGTTGTAAATAAATGGTTTCACATAAGTAGTGTATATTAGATATACATTATAGTAGCACCCACTAAATCAGGGGTGGGCAAAATGTGGCCCACGGGCCGGATGCAGCCCATCAGGTCATTCTATCCAGCCCGTGGTGCCCCTAAAAAATTTAGAAAATTAATATTTATCTGGCCTGACTGCATGTCATGCAGCCCTTGATGGCTTGCCAAAACTCAGTAAGTGGCCCTCCGCCCAAAATAATTGCCTGCCCCTGCACTAAATTCTTATAGTTGGAGTTTGTCAGCATTCCCTTTAATACCCCCTGTTTTTTAATTTCTTTTTTTCATTTGTTCAATTTTTAACAAGGTCATAGGACAAAGGTGAATTGTTTATGAAAATATGAATAACATTTAGTTTTACTAGCTAAGTCACAATAAAGTAAAACTAATTCTCTGATTATGATATGGTCCTGTGGCGCACACAAATACTCCCTAATATGAACTATTGCTTCCTCATGGGTGAAATATAAAAATGGTCCTTGTATTGTGTAGGCAAGCATGTTTTATGAAGGCTGTGTTTGTTAGCTTTTTATAAATACATGTGATGCATTCTTTTTCATTTTACATTATAGTGCTTCTTTGTGGTGTTAGAATAACAGCACACTAGGCATTTACATCTATTTATCCACAAAGGAGTTGCTGTATCTAACCACTGCTTCAGTTCCCTACTAACTTGTCTAAACTTTCATCTGTAGAAACAACCTCCAAAACAAATTAAACTATTTAATATCTCACCTCTCCTCAGGGTTGCTACCCCAAGACATTTTTTTAATTGAGAATCTGAAAACTTTTTACTGACAACCAAACTCTTTTACTGAAACTTTTTAAAACCTGATATATGTTTTACATTATATAAATATATCCCTTCTGCTATGCCCCGGATAGCAATTAGAAGGGCTGGGTTCAAATGTAGGGGTTTAACACTAACCATAATAAAAATAAAAAAAAAAAGGTTTGTCAGTAATAATTTTTTAGATTGTCTGTAAAAAAAATTATTTTTTTCTTGGGTTGTCAGACTTGTTGACTGTTGCAATAGTTTATACCTTACAGCCCCTAACCCAAGGGTTTCCTACCCTGATTCCCCTGACTGCACCCTGCCACATGCTGCCTCTTCAGCCCAACTCTCAACCTGACCTCCACTGGACCACAACACACTACCTTCTCCCCAACCTCCAAGCTCTGCAGCTCTGTCCTGCCTGCACCATCTCTCTCCCTATATCTGAAGTACTCTTAGATGCCACTTCTAATACCATTAGAACTTCAGTGAGCAGCAGTGAATTGACTTATGAGAGAAACTGAGAAAAAAGGTTTTTTTTCAATGTTATGAACATTATTTCATGACTTTAAAACTACTGGACAAGCTAAAGACATTTTTTTAGGTACAAAAGAGTCAGTATATGGAAAATTACAAAAAATACTACTCTTACATGTCAAAGAGTTTCTTTCTAAGACTAAAGAAAGATAAGCATTCAAAATCCATTGTAACTGACAAGTATCATGAACCAAACACAATAAAATTATAATTAAATGTTAAAAATAATATAAGCTATTAGAAAAAAGTATTATAAAACTATGCTTTTATATATTCTAGGCAGGGCTGCTAGTATTGACTAATAATGATGTCTCTGTAAAGAACAGTGTAAACTAACAATTGCATGAATTTCATTTGAAACAACTATTTTTCCCCGTTGTGTGAAGTGATGAGTAGCACAGAGTTCTGCTCTTACCTGGTAAAACATTGTAACTGGATTCTTTTCCACCCAAACCTATAAGAGAATCAAATACTTCTGTAATGCTGTCATCAATATTAATAAGGGGAATCCTTGGTACTACAATGTCAGCAGTCAACGGCTTAACCCTTTGTTGTCTGTTAAGCCTGTGGTGTGATGAGGGACCCTTTCTTAGTCCTCTATAACGCATTCTCCTTCTTTGCCTTCTGGGAATTCCATTGGTTTCATTTTGAACAAAATGAACACCAAGACAGACAAGCAGGAAATAATAGAGCAAACATGTAGTCTTCATGTTTTCTCCCTCACATACAGTGTCCTAGAAGGGAAAATAGAGGAAAAAGTAAAAAATTAGGTACAGTTTTTTTCAGTGTGTCATATAATGCAGATCTAAAAGATTTTTCAGAAATATGGTCTAAAAATGGCAGGCAAGGATAGTCAGTTTTATCTTTTTGGTAAAATTTTCATTTTGAAAGTTCTTCAAGTAATTTTGTAATTGTCTCTCTACAGGTATGCAAAATAGTTTAATTCAAATACAGCCGTGTATAGAAGGGTATTTTTTTTTATCAGATGAACCCTTAATATATATTCATGCAGCATGAAACTGAAAATCTCTTCCTCATGACAAAATGTATTTCCAGAGACATATTGCTCAAATCATAGAATCATAGAAAGTTAGGGTTGTAAGGGAGGTCATCTAGTCCTTCCACCTGCTCAAAGCAGGACCATCCCTAACTAGATCTTCCCAGCCAAAGCTTTGTCTAGGGTCTTGAAAACCTTCAAGGATGAAGATTCCACAACCTCTCTGGGTAACTTGTTCCAGTGTTTTACTACCCTCCTAGTGAAAACATTCTTCCTAATATCTAAACTAAACTTTCCTTGCTGCAACTTGAGACTGCTGCTCCTTGTTCTGTCATCTGCTACCACTGAGAACAGGGTTTAGGTGTGGATTGCAGGCTCAAATGAGTTAGCCAAGTGATGCAGTCACAAAAAGAATATGTAATTTAATTTTTATCAAAAGGAGTATTAGGTGCAAGACATGAGAGGTGATATTTCCACTCTACTTAGTGCTGGTTATGCCTCATCAGATTCTAAAGTTGGAGAGGATCTAGAGGTGGGTGGCAAAAAATTATAAAGTAATTAGAAGGAAAGCTGTACAAGGAAGGATTGAGAGATCTAGGCATGTTCAGTCTGGATAAAAGGCAAGTAAAGGAAAAAGGGGGAGGAAAGTCCATGATAGCATTTTTCAAATATCTGAAAGGCTGTGGTAAAGAAGAGGGAGAACTGTTCTTCCCTTGCTACAAAGATAGGGCATGACGCAATAACTTTAAATTGCAGCAAAGTACATTTAGGATGTCCAAGGCAGGTGTGGAATCTCCTTCATTAGAGGTTTTCAAGAAAAGCTGGGATAATAATTGATCACGAAGGATTCACGAGTAGTATTAAATTCACGAAGGGGGTTAGACCAGGATTAGGGTCACTTCCATCCCTATCATTCTGTGTCAGACATATGCTCTATCTCTACTGGTACCTAATCTTGTTCAAAACTCAATTACTTCTTGATACTCAACATGGCAAATATGACCAAAGAAAAACAGCCTTATTTCTGTGGTTTGTAACTGACTTCTCTTCTCATGTCTGACCATAAGTTTGCATTATAGATTACAGTGTCCTTGTATGGACAAAATTTCAAGTGTTCAGAAGAAGAACAGACTCTTGAAATATGCAAATTCAATCTGTTAAGTAGTCAGTGAATCTAGTTATAGTTAAATCTTTATATCTTTCTTATAAGAAAGGGTTTAACAACACACTTGAAGCACTTTGTATATTTACTGAATATAATTTGAAAGTTCAGGTATGGAGATTATATTGTATTTATAGTACAATTACTCTTTCAGTTGTGTCCATTTAGTATTAGTTACAGGTATCAGAAAATAGAACTATACCATAATTACCAATGTGGAGGATTAAGTGGAACTGCTTTCAGTAAACAATTCTTGTTCACATACATGTAAAAGTGGTAGATTTTAGGACTAAAAATTAAAATTTTCAATACTTCCTGAAAGTTTAACGCTTCCATTTTCATTTAAATAGTATGCTTTGCCTGTAAGAAGATGCCAAGTTTGTCTTAAGAGGAATAAGTATCATTGGTTTCTACTGAAGATGAGGACACTCCCACCTCTGGCATATGTTTATTTAATGGTGCAATTGTATCTGATCCCCAATTCCAATAATCATGCCTCCTGTCATGCCACACATATAGCAGAAGGTGCAGTTTTGGAATCATGGAATCTCAATTGTGCTATTACTGCTTGCCAGTGTAGGGGGAGCCTGGGATCATGATCCTCGGCTCTCCCTGAACAAGCAAGTTGGCCTGGGGCTGACAATCAGTTTACTGTTGGCTCCAGCCCCAGGTCTTAAATCAGTCCCCGTTTGGTCCAAGGACTAACAGTCAGCTAATTGTTAGCTCCAGTCCCAGGAGTACATTGGGGAACCAGCTTTGGTGCAGTCCTGGGCTGGGGCCAACTATCAGCTGATTTTCAGCTCCACCCATGACATTCAGTTAATTGTCAATCCCAGCCTGAGTGATTCTCAAAATCTTGTGTCAAGCAGCTATGGCCAGATTACCAGGCACAGGGAATCAGAGGCTCCACAGTGGTGGAAGTTGAAAGTTCCAAGTGGGGGAAGCATTTTGACTCTTCTACCAGGAGCCTCTGATTCACCCCACCCAGCAGCCCAGCCGGAGTTGGTGGGCACAGGCAGTGGCATTACTTGGGCAGGCGCCTGCGTTGGGTGCCAGTCTGGGGGTAGAAAAACAGCTACCATGAACAGTTACATGATTACAATTACGCTGGCAGCATGGTTGCAACCAAAAGTCACCTAAACCCCAGGCACCCAATCACATAGGCTGCTGGGTGTGGGGTTTAAGTCTCAGGCAAGGAAAGCCCTTTGGCTCCACCCCCTACCCCCCAGGCTCTTGGCTCTGATTGTTGGTCAGTCCTGGGGTCATTCCAGACCCAATCAGCTGATTGTTGGCCTGGTCATGTGTTAAATTAAGGTGCCAACAAACCAGCCATAAAAATGTTCTATGTATAATGTAGAACATATACTATAGAACATTTGTATAGCTCATTTCCTATTTTATGTTGCTTTAAATTGGGTGTACATGTACACCCTACCCATTTATGCCTCAATTATCTTGCAACAAGAGTAAATAATGATATCCTATCACTAATACTATATCTACAGCAGCTAATGTTGATTTATGTTGAATTCAATATAGTATTGACATTGTTGCCTGAAACTCTGAACGTGAGTTTTCTGTATTATGTTAATGTATCACTTATATTCTGCAGAAATATTTTGTTCATGTTTAATAATGACAAGTAAAGATCTTTGTCTTCTCTGCTTTTCAACTACAATATGTGATGAATTGTTTGCTGCTTTCTTATTTTCTTCTTTCAGAGTTTGGTATCTGTTGTTTTGTCATTATTTCACTTGAAATAATTAATTTCTAGACAAATGATCTTTTATAAATATTCCTCGGAATGTATTATTTACTTTTTCTTTCCTAACCTAAGTTAAAATTTTTCTTCAAGTTAATTGCTTTTCTCAATATACAGCAGGATTAACACAATTTCTGAAGGTTTTAACATGCTGTTGTTGAAACTAGTTTATATAGAAATCAGTTTTATATAGAAATCAGTTTTGATTGGCCAAAGAAATAATCTAAATGAATTTTCATTTATCTTAAGCTTGAAATGTATGGCAAACATTCAAACTGAACAAAACAAAACAAAGCCAGATCAACTAATACTGCACACTTTTTTCTGTAGAAAACCTTAAACTCTTTACTCTAAATAGTTAATCTTTTAACTTTTAACCATATTTGCAAAGTATTAAGCATTCCATAATAACCTGTAGTTTAAGCCATTCCACACCATGCTTTAAGGAATAATTTAAAATGTAAAACATAATTTACCTTGTAATCTAACCTAACAGTAGATTTTGCTTGGTGTCATTAGTCTCCAGTTGCGAATGAAACAAATTCAGACTGATATCTTTAAAAAAAGCAGAGCAACAGTTGGGGATGTTGAAACATGTTAGATAACTCCTTAGTGAAGTCTGAAATAGCGTCTTTCCCTGGGGACAAACCGTCCTTCTGTTCTGTATGCAGAGAACAGCTAATAAAGTTCCTTGGAAAACTGAAAACCTCACTTAGGGAAAATGAAAAACAGCACAATGCTTTTGGTCCGTAGGCTGACAAGGCACAGCTGGAAGTCCACTTTTTGCTTATAAGAAACAAGAGAGGGGACTATTTTCAAGAGACCTGGAAAACATTTATAGTTTATTTGGTTCTTATTTGACTACAAATATTTTAAATTAGATTCCCTGTGGCTTAATTTTACTGTGAATTTACTATTCTATTAAGATATTATACCTATCCAAACATAACTTTTGTATAAAATATATTTCCTCAGATCATATTTCCTAAATTCACATTTTAATTAAAGTTTCCCTGTGTATACTAATATGTATATGAAACAAACCTTTTCATTCAAGAGTTGAATAGTTTTTATTTGTTATTCTTTTATCTATTTAAAGCAACTTGATTTCATCACAACTGCAATATTCATGTGGAAAATAAAATGACTGAAGCATTTTCCCTTTCTTTATTATTGTAAGGATAATTACATCCTGAAACATGACATTGAAATGGTTATCCAGAAGCTACCATGAATTTAGTAACCCAAATATGAAAAGTAATGCATATGGGGAAGGAGACATGCTACATTACCACAGAGCTTTTTATGCCAGCAAGGCCAGTTTCTTCATGCTCAGCTTGAATGTCTATAGACTGCCACAGCTTCCTGAGACATTGAGCCTGCTGTTTCAGAAATGACATATGTACCTAGTAGATGAAGTAGTCTGAGTTCTCTATGGTTGTTTAAGCTTTTGAACATTTTTGGGTTTTTTAAATCCACATGAGAAAATTCTAGGTAGAAAATTATGGTATATATATATGTTTTAGTCTGCCATGATTGTTAGTGGGCAGATGCTTAATGTGCAGTAGACTAATTCTGTGCAGATACACAAGATGCTTAATGTGCAGTAGACTAATTCTACTGCACATTAGTGCACATAGCAAAAACTGTGCTAATACAATAATGCACAGTAGTATTAGTTTACTGCTCATTAAGCATCACACAGAAAGCGTGCGATCACACTAATGCACCGTAGGGCAGTCTACTGTGCATTTATTTAGTTCTTGATCATACAAGTACTAAATTTAATGCACAGTAGGTACTGTGCATTAATGAACGTGTAGATGCGGCCAGTATGTCTGTGGTGAATAGATACCAGGAAAACACATCGTCTCTTCAGCAGTTATTCTAACTATATTGTATGTCACTTTGTAATCACAAGAGGAAAGAAATTAAATGTTATCAGTGTTTGCAGTTGGTTAGAATGCACATGAAGAAATCATACTTGCCTTAGGAACTCACAAACTAAATGAAATACACCAAGAAAAACACATATTCTGGGGGAACAAGGGTTTATTTTTACAAACACAAATACACTACTGCCCCAAGTGTTAAGATAACAAGAAAGATTCATGTTATATTTTGGGTGAATAAAAAAGGGAAAGATGTGTGTAACACAAGAGCAAGGTCATGCCACATACTAGAGGAGACAGAAAGAACAATATAAAAGGAGCAGGCAGATATCATGGGGCAGAAAGAAAATGCGAGTAGAAATACAAATAAGAATGCTTTTGTATAACCTTGAATGTGAGGAACAAAAGCCTTGACTTCGATACAGAAGGTAAAGGAAAGTCAACTACAGGTTTCCCTCGCCAACTGCTAGGATTAGATTCCTGAAAGTTCCCGTGGTTGGCAAGACAAAAGACTTATGGGGAAAATGGCAGGTGGCAGGCTGATGCATGGCCATGAAAAACCATAGTTACTCAAAACTGTATACCGTGGTAGCCAAAATGGTATATAGAGTATTAAGCGTGGATACTCAAAACTGTGGTTGGTGAGAGAAACCTGTATGACATCTTAAGGTGTAAGTAGCATAGTCAAAGTCATTTTTATTGGAAGCTGAGGGTAGAAATAAGGTGAGATTGTGGCAAGTGTAGAGGGGAAAGTATTGTAGTTGTCAAGGTAAGACATGGGTAAAGAGCAGACAAGGGTTTTTGCACTAGGATTAGAAGAAAAGATTGAATTTTAAAGATGAGATAAAGAAAGAAGTGATCAGATGCGCTCATTGGGCGTGGGTGTGGGTGTGGATGTGGATGTGGAAAGGGAAGGAGAGAGAGAGAAATAGGACACATGGGATAAATGCACACAGTCAAAAAGCCCAAAGCAGAATGTATTCAATCTAAGCAGCTTCCTCTAAGCTGAACCAATAACCAACTGAACTGACTTTTAGTTTTCAATTGGGAAAGGCAGGGGGAGGCCTGCACTGACCCAGGCCAGTAGGCACAGGGCACTAGAGCACATCTCCCAGCCTGCAGGCCATTGCCAACCCAGCCAAGTGCCCCAGTTGTCTCAGTACATGCCCCCAACCCCCTGCTGTCCCCACATAGGAGATTAAGGAGCCCCCTGTTCAGGTGCTGGCAAACCTTGGGGGAGCCTCCTCCTCAGGGGGTTTGCCCCAGCCCAGGCAGCTCTGGGAAGCCAAGGGGAATTCCCCCTCTCCCCCTTCCCATCAGCTGCCACAAGAGAGAGAGAGAAGGAGTCCTCCCCGGCCAGCTACCTGCCCATGCAACCCAGCATGGGGGTACTGGAGAGCCCTTGCTTTGGGTTCCCCAGCCAGGGCAGTCCCAGGGAGCTGAGGGGAATACTTCTCCTCCTGATCCCCAGAGCTGCTTGCCTTAGCTGCTGTCAGTCTCGAGGGATAGCCCAGGGCAGCCTCAGGGAGCAGAGGGAAATTCTTTTGCTCCCCTGCAACTAGTTTTGCCTCAGACTCACAGCAGCTGAGGCAAAACCAGCTGCAGAGGAGCAGGAGAATTTCCCTCCACTCCCTGAGGCTGCCTGAGACTCACAGGGTGTGTCCAGACAAGCCCTTTGAGGCAGGGCAACAGGCGTGTGTGGGAATGAAAAAACGTTCCCCACGCTGCAAGTTTGCAGTGCAGGGAGAAAATTAGACCCCTGTATCCAGGGGTCTAAAAAAACCGCTCTGCAATAGAGCAGAGCAAGGTACAGTTCAAGACTGTGCCTGGAGCCACTCCTCCAAAAGAGACGCTCTGGTTTTGGCCAGAGCGTCTCTTTTGTGTTTCTGCTGCCCCTGGCGCTGTCCAAGGTAAGTTTTTTTGGGGGGGAGGTGGGTTCATGGGTGTCAGGGGGATGAGGGTTGGCAGGGGGATGTGGGAGAGGTTGGCTAGTGGTGGGGGGAGGATGTCCCTGGGGCTGCTCTGGTGCAAGGCTGGACTAGTGAGCCACATGGGGCTAGGCCAGGGGGCAGAGGCGGGAGCCGGCCCTGGGGTCTGGCCCATGCTGAGAGGAACCGGCGCAGCATGCGGTTCCCGTGTGCCACGCCAGGTTCTGCTGCGGCCGGGCCCTTCCTATAGCTGCAGGATGTGGTCCAGCGTGGTGGGCCGAGGCGAGTCGGGGTGCGCGG